GCCGCTCAGGAGGGAGAGAGAAGAAAGTAGTCGAAAGAGAGACTCCAGAAGTGGGCGACTCGATCCGCGGGTCTCGGTCGGCGGCGCTCCCTGAATTCCTCCTCCCAGACCCAAAGTCTCCGTCTCTCGACACTGGCTGGTCGTTTAAAATTATTATTGTTCTTTTTCCCGATTTTATTATTTATTGTTAGATTATTATTTTATCGATTGGCATTATTATTACCGGTTACCGACTGCCCTTCCATACTTGATCTGTACCTCATCTCTGCTGTAAAAAAGCAAGTCCCTACTTCATCCCTCCACTTCTTCCTCTTCCTCTCTTCCCCTTCCCCTCCTACTCTTCCCCATCGCGACTGGCATCTCTTGTTTTTCTTCTTCCATTTTTACTTCGTCCTTCCTCTTCTTCTTCTTCTTCACCTCCTTTCGTTTCAGTTCACATCCCCATCTTCGCCGTGCGAGTTATCTCAACCCAAGGGACTTGTAATCGGGCTGGCCCAGTTCAACTCTCTGTTGCTCTCTCTCTTTCTCACTGCCTTTCATTTGCCCTTTGTTGACGAGGGTCGGCACAACGTCAGCGCCTAACTACTACTTGCTTGCTACTCTTTCCATACAAGAGGCTGGCACCTCTTTTTTCCTACCCATCAGCTGTGTTTGGATAACCCTTTTGTGTTTCACGATCCCGTCGTCGAACACCCTATATCCAAACCTGTTTCTATCTTTATATAGCATTCAATCCTCCGAGATCGCTCCCCTTGATTCCTTGCGAGTGGTTGTTTGTCCGCTTTCCTAACCGGGTGTTGTGACTGTGCGTAACTCCTTGCTCTGCCCAACCGGTGCTCTGTGACACCGTCCACTTGCCGCTTCCATGGCGCTCTTCTTTGTTCGCGCTTATGCTTGCAAGCAAACCGTCGTTTTAAGATTTGACTGATTCCCCGACAGACTACTGTATCACATCCGCTATGTATTCCCAACACGGTGCCCCTATGGCACCCCCCCAAAAGCCGGAGACGTTTATGCTTTCCACTGAGGCCCAGCAAAGCCTTCCACATGACGCGCAAGTCGCGCTGCAGCAGGTTGACAATCGTACGTTTTCCTTTGCGATGCTTACAACGCCTGTAGCTTCAGTCTGGCTTTCCAGTGCCTTCAACCCAGGCCCTTTGATGGACTCCTGACTAATGGTCTATCTCTGGTATAGTCAAATACTTTCTCCTCTCGGCGCCAGTGGACTGGCATGCAGATCAACTCATCCGGCGCTTCTTGCTTCCCACTGGCGACTACATCTCTTGCGTCTTATGGTTAGTTGCGATCGTCGCAATGCCATGCAGTTGATCAAAGAACACCTAAACTGATTCGCCATAGGAGTAATCTCTTTCACATCTCCGGAACCGACATCGTCAGATGCCTCGCATTCAGATTCCAGGCCTTCGGGCGCCCCGTGAAGAATTCGAAGAAGTTCGAGGAGGGTATCTTCTCGGACTTGCGAAACCTCAAGGCCGGAACTGATGCTACTCTAGAAGAACCCAAGAGCCCGTTCCTCGACTTCCTCTACAAGAACAATTGCATTCGAACCCAGAAAAAGCAAAAAGTCTTCTACTGGTACAGTGTGCCACACGATCGGCTGTTTCTCGATGCGTTGGAACGTGATCTGAAGCGGGAGAAAATGGGGCAGGAGGCGACCACGGTTGCGGTCAGCGAGCCTGCTCTGTCTTTCGAGTTCGATTCATCCCAGTCGCTGTATGAACAACTCACAAAGGCACAACAAGCAAATTCCTCATCGTTTGCTGCACACGCAAGTACGACATATGGCCAACCCGCATCCCCAGTGGTTCGGACCGTTGACGCTATGCCTCCTCCCCAGATGGCTCCCCAGATGGCTCCCCCGGCGCTACCCCTTCTCCCGGACGAGTCGGGCAATCCGGCGATGTACAACCCAGTTCCTATGCCCACCACCCTGGCCCAGAGCGTTATTAAGCGCGAAGCCGAATACGGGCACATTCAATACGACCGCAATGGCATGCCCATTGCTCGTCTACACCAGCGCCATGCCTCCATGCCCACCTTCGTCGAATACTCGCCGGCGCCATCGTTCGTTTCGTCTCAATACGAGGACTACAGCAACCGGGGTCTATCGTTCGAGCCTGTTACACCTCCTCAGCACAGCTCCCACCTTGGAGCTGAACCGGCATACATCGCTAACGAAGACACCGGTCTCTACACCGCCATCCCCGATATCTCTTCCGCAACCCACTTCAATCCAATGATGCAGCTACCCCCGTCTAACCTTGCCCATGCGCACTACCCGGCGCCTGCAAGAACTTTCCCTTCAAATGTCTACTCGGTCATCGAAGGCTCTCCTACATACAAGCAACGTAGGCGGCGGTCTTCGATACCACCGAGTATCACCAGCGTTGGCGCTGGGCCGCACCCCCAGGTGACTAGTGCACCGAACCAAGCTGTTGCGTACGCTGCCCATAAACCCAGCGACCTTCGTCGCTCAGTCTCTAGCTCGGTGGCTCCGGTAGCGGAGGTGGATGAGTCTCATCATGATCAGTCTTTCAGGGCTGCCAATGGTTATCGCGCTGCAGTCCTTCCCCAGAAGAACCTGCTGCATGAGATGTCCCGCAACGGCACCCCGCTGCCGAGTCTCGAAGAAAACCCCGAGCAGGGTACCTTGGCTCTTGCAAATCAACCAGACGACTTAGCGCCTCTCCCTAGCGGTGAGGCGCTAGATGCATCCGTCCAGAACAGTGCGACGAGTAAGAATGACCGATACGGTCCCATCCGTCGTGCTCGGAGCGCTACCATGATGGAGCTCGGCCCCTACCCGCAGAAGTCACACTCCTGCCCCATTCCATCATGCGGACGCCTCTTCAAGAGATTAGAACATTTGAAACGGTAAGCTGCAATTTTCTATTTTTATGAGCTTCTCAATTGGTTCGGGTTCCTGAAGGGATCGGCGGGAGCCTCAAAACCATTGTTTCTGTAACCGCCGACTAACATGAAGGATGCAGACACGTGAGAACACACACCCAGGAGAGGCCCTACCCTTGTCCTTACTGCAACAAAGCATTCTCCCGATCGGATAACCTGGCACAGTAAGTTATCAGCATGTTCACTTGATATTGATTGCAGGATGCTAATCTGCCTTACAGACACCGTCGAATCCACGAGGCTCAACAGGATGGGCAGCAGCCCCTTTCTGGCCACGAGGAAGACCTGGAAAATGACGAGAACGGATTTGGTTCAGCCGAGGAGGGATCTTCTCCGTCTGAATCTGTCTCAGGTGCCATGGTTAATGTTCCTGGCATGACCACGATGCCCTCCGCTATGACCCTGCCATCGGCTATGCCCACAATGGTCGCTCCTCACATGATTGCGCCTCAACTCTTGCAGCAGCAGCTATGAGTGACGCGCCATGGTGGACCTCTAACTGGTCGATACTTTGCCAGACATGTCACACATTCTCTGTTCGCTTTGTTCAGTCCTTACTGATGCTTTTGCATCTCGACCCTCGGTCGTCTACTGTGTTTGTTCTCACTAATTAACTCGAGGAGTTGAGGGCGCGTGTCTGCATACAAAACGTCCCTTACTCCGTTCTTGATTGATTGCATCGCCAAGTGTACGCTGTTCGGCCCTGTGGCTCCTGTACGTTGATGCCACGTCACTGAGGCTCGGTTGACAGCTATTGGCTTCCTGTAGGATCTCGTCTCCTGCTTCGCGGCCTTGTCCCCCGGGTGATGGCGGGGCTGCTTCCAGATTTGGATTGAATCTTCCTTTGTTTCCTATTTGCGGTCGGTCTGGATTTGGTGTCCATAATAAGCGTTACATGTGTTCGTTCCTCGGGGTTGGTAAGCTGTTGTCTCTACCCCATAATTGTGCTTGTTTTTATCTTGTCTCCTTTTGTTCGGTCGGGTTCCTGGTTTTATTTGTTTTATGTGCTATGTTGATAATGGGCTTTCTTGTACTATTTCATTTATCGCGGTGATGGGAATATTTGGTGGGTTGGATTTACAGATGAGGGTTGATCAAAAAGGGCACATAGCTTGAAAGGGCTACTTTTCTTTGCTCGTGGGATATTTTGCAGCTCTCCAGGCACACCTGAAGCGGGGATGCAAGAAGGGGGTCAGGATTTGAAGCTTCTTCCATTATAGATATTCCGAGAAGACGAGAAGATGGGTTCTTGTGTCTGCGACGGGCGTGCATAGGTTGAGCACATACATATAGATATGAATCAAATGGTAATGAAACCCATGCTGTTAAATGACTAGTAGCCGTAAAAGTAAGTCAGGGGATGGATGTTTGTCACCTGTCAGACGACTGCGTGTCTCCGCCTGATCCAATCGTGACCCGTTCGACCCGGCTTCCAGATCGGGCTATATCACGTGCATGGCCTGCTGACGTCGACCCGATTCTACAAGGTATCGTCATCCAGGACACCCCCATCGTATTCATCGGGAATGCCTCCTCTTTATTTCTCTGCAGTGAGCTGTTCTTATAGTCCGCCTAGCATGGTGCAAGACTAGGAACCCAAAGGGTTTGATCTTCGTGCCATACCTCCTATCTGCTGATACTGCTCCCTGAGCGCTTCACTTTCCATAAATACATACTCGCGTGTCCACTACTACCTCTTGCCGAACCCTGAGGAATCCAACCACGTTTCAACAGCCTGTTTGAGATTATCACACACTATATTGCACTACCACTTGCTTCAACCTCTGGCAGGAAGAAGCCACAGAACGGTTGCATTCCATACTGGACTAGCTTGTGTACCACGGCCTTTCCACACCTTTGGGTCTATCTATCCACTTCTAATCATTTTATATGCTACTAGTCCGCGTGTGCTATCCTCGGGGCTTTTTCTATCCCATGAATGACTAACGCAGGAAGACCTGATCGTATCACACACACGCGCGGTAACTTCTTTTGAATTCCCCGATTGTTAACAGGGGATCGTTGTGTCCAGCAACGCTGCTTTTAGCTAGATCAAATGCCAGAGACGCATGAGCGGTTCGCTGACGAAACTTCCCCCTTGGTGGGAGCATCTGACAATAATCAAGTGCATTCGATGTCAAGAAATGGAGATAACAACGGGACCAGCGGGGCTGGAGATGCTCACCCTCTGTCTGAGACGAAGAGCAGCTGGTACCTGTTTTTGTTGACTTTGAGCATCGGCGGGTAGGTGGCTAGTCTGGTCCGTTGGCGATCTGGTCGAAGACTGTATCTATGTGGTGTATGGCTTTTGCCCGAAGCTAACAAGTTGTTGTTCTAGTCTTCAGGTTGTGTGGTCCACTGAGCTGTCGAATGGATCGGTAAGCTACCACTGCTTCTAGGGTTTCATGTGGGAATAGGGTGCTAATTATGTTCCTGAGCATAGCCCTACCTCCTGTCGCTCGGAATGAGCAAGGCGTTACTTGCATTCGTTTGGATTGCTGGTCCTATCACAGGTACCCTTGTGCAGCCGTATATTGGCATCTGCAGCGACAATTGCCGCATATCATGGGGTAAGAGAAAGCCGTTCATGGTAGTGGGCGGCATCGCGACGGTCATTTCTCTCCTTGCTCTCGCCTGGGTCAAGGAGATGACCGGAGGCTTCCTTGGCCTTTTCGGTGTTGATCCGGCCTCCAGTGCAACGCGGACAGTGGTCATTGTACTGGCCACCATCCTGATGTACTGCCTTGACTTTTCTGTAAATACTGGTAGGTTTCCTTATGCTTCGCTTATATGTGCAAACTTAAAGTGACTGTTCGGTTGCAGTGCAGGCAGGCATCCGGTGTTTCATTGTGGATAATGCCCCTTCGCACCAGCAGGAGGCGGCAAATGCATGGGCTAGTCGGCTCACCGGCGTTGGTAACATTCTTGGGTACATTTTTGGATACATGGACCTGCCTAAATGGTTCCCGTTTTTGGGAAACACACAGTTCAAAGTCCTCTGTGCATTGGCGTCCGTCGCACTTGGGATAACGTTGTTGGTCAGCTGTTTATACATTAAAGAACGCGATCCCCGTCTAGATGGCATGCCCTCATCGGGGAACCCTGGGCTTGTGACATTCTTCAAGCACGTTTTCAAGTCGATCAAACACCTGCCGCCGGAGATTGCCAAGGTGTGCGAAGTTCAACTTGCCGCGTGGGTGGGTTGGTTTCCTTTCCTTTTCTATTCCACGACATATATCGGGCAGCTCTTTGTGAATCCGATTTTCGATGGACACCCGGGTCTCTCGGATGATGATATTAACAAAGCTTGGGAAGAAGCTACGAGAATTGGGACCTTTGCGCTGCTGGTCTACGCAATCATCTCATTTGTGACAAACTTAACGCTGCCTGTCCTTGTTGTTCCTACCTACAAGTCAGCTGTTCCTTCTGAGCCCACTCCTACGGAAGGTGAGTCGGAGGACGAGCCCTTCCTAGGCAACAGAAGGCTGTCTACATCCTCAATTAGCACTGCCATGGAAGCACCCGCGCCCATTTTGGGAATCGATAAGGGCGATTCGGGAGAGAATAAGTGGCTAGCGAAGTTGCAGATCCCCGGATTTACTCTTCGGCGTGCGTGGCTCATGTCGCACATCCTGTTCGCTGTCTGCATGTTTAGCACATTCTTCATCTATTCTTACCAGGCGGCAACGGTGGTTATCGGGATCGTTGGTATCTCGTGGGCATTGACGCTTTGGGCACCCTTTGCCCTAATCTCTGCGGAGGTCTCCCGCATTGACACGGAGCGTCGCATCCGGCGGCATCAGAATATGGGTGCAGTCTCCGAGCAGCCTCGCGATGATACGAGATTACCAGCCCGAGCCAATACCGACGAGCAAGACCTGGAGAATGGATCACCCAATTCAACTACAAAGGCAGGGGAAGTGGAAGAGGAAGAAAATCTGGCGCAGGCAGGGATCATCCTCGGACTGCACAATGTGGCCATCTCGGCGCCACAAATCATCTCGAGTCTGATTTCTAGTGCGATTTTCAAGGCGTTCCAGAAGCCTCGGGGTGAGCCATGGGATGACAGTGTTGGGTGGGTGATGAGGTTCGGGGGTTGCGCGGCAGTACTGGCGGCAGTGCTGACCAGCAGGCTTACCGAGGGAGCAAGGGGAGTGAGTGTTTCATCGTAGGAGTTATATTACTGGGGTGGAGTAACAGACACAGTGATAGTAATATCAATATTACACATTGATGGAGAGTTCTCATAATCTGTAACACCAGGCCGAAGTGGAAGGCATAGTAGAAAAAAGAAAGACCCGTTATTGTAGGCAAAAAGTAACCAGCAATAGTTCATTCTATTGAGGCGACGTCACACGCCAGGAGGATCAGCGGGCCGAACAGCGACGGGTCTTGGCCACGCGGGACTCCGGCGGGCGTTGACGAATACTTGTCCCCTACAACTCATGCCAGCTTTCGCTTCACACATCTTTACAGTCTCTCGCTTTTCGCTGCTGTTGCGCCTTTCTGCCTCCCGTCAGGTCTTTTGCGATCGGCAGATTATGTGTGCCTGGTCCCCGTACCAGAGACTCGCTGCTGGGCGTTAAACCGTCATCCGCGTCGTGATTGCGAGGGATATCCCCAAACAATGGCTACCCAAGTGATGGGCGACTTTTTACACCAGCTAATCCGTATGTCTTCAATGCCCCATGCGATGTCAGTGGATCAGTTAGGAGAATGTCAAGCTTCGGGTTGATGGTTGAGAGATCCCTGGGGCTTCCTCTGTGAGGAGGCGGCGGCGGCCCCTTGTGATGGATGCATACGCGGTCGGGCAATTTGAAACGAAAATGATCACTAACGACCTCGTGCTTTTCAGGGAGAGCTGTGGATTCGGATACGGACCCCGATGATGGTACGCGCATTATACTCCTTCCAAAATAATCTATCTCTGGTCTTGGCCATTCGATCTGACAATGTCGGATTTACAGCAGATGCTCCGGATACCGGCGATAAGGAGTTCTTCAGCTCCTGGGCGCTCTTCATCCTGATTATGTTGTTGATGTTCGCGCTATTCACAAGCTACATTCTCCAACAGAAGAAGATTCAGGCGGTTCACGAAACAGTGCTGTCTATATTTGCGGGTACGTCGATCGCAGCTTGGTTGTTTCCTTTCGGGATATTGTGAGGGTCAGGCGCTCATGGGTGTGGGATAACTTTAGGCATGTTCGTCGGATTGATCATCCGATTGAGTCCTGAGTCACCTATTCAGGATAGCGTCACCTTCGATTATCAATTCTTCTTCAACCTTCTCCTTCCTCCGATTATTTTGGCGTCGGGCTACGAATTACACCAAGCGAACTTCTTCCGAAACATCGGTACCATTCTCACCTTCGCCTTCGCGGGAACGTTTATCTCTGCTATTGTGTTGGGACTGGTCTTGTTTGTCTGGACGAGAATTCCGTTGGATGGGCTGAATATTTCCTTCGTTGAGGCCATCGCCGTCGGTGCGACTCTGTCGGCGACGGATCCAGTCACTATCTTGGCTATCTTCAACTTGTACAAAGTCGAGCCGAAGCTCTACACGGTCATTTTTGGCGAGTCGATCTTGAACGATGCCATCGCTATTGTGTTATTCGAGACTGCGCAGAAGTACGCCGACAGTGATGCGGGTTCCTTGACTTTCTTGAACTTGTTCGAGGCTATTGGAGTGTTCTTGCTGGTTTTCTTTGGAAGTATGATGGTGGGTATCATCGTCGGCATCATGACCGCTCTGGGCTTGAAGTACACGCATGTGCGCCGCCAGCCCAAGATTGAGAGTTGCTTGATTGTCCTTATCGCCTATGCCAGCTACTTCTTCTCGAATGGTGTCTATTTGTCTGGTGAGTGATGTGCTTTTCACCAATGGTGTGAAGCAAGCTGACATTCTTAGGCATTGTGTCTCTTCTGTTCTGTGGAATCACTCTCAAACACTATGCATACTATAACATGTCGCGCCGTACCCAACTCACCACGAAATACCTCTTCCAAGTGATGGCGCAGTTGTCGGAGAACTTTATCTTCATTTATCTTGGACTCGACTTGCTTGTCCAAAGACATCTACAGTTCAAGCCTCTCTTTATCCTGGTCGCCGTTTTCGGTATCTGTATTGCGCGTTACTTGGCGGTGTTTCCGCTGTCCAAGGCGATCAACTGGTTTATCCGCTACAGAGCCCGTCGCCGCGGCATGGATGTTGCTGACGAGCTGCCCTTCGCTTATCAAGCAATGCTTTTCTGGGCAGGTCTGCGCGGAGCTGTCGGTGTTGCGCTGGCCGCGGGCCTGAAGGGCGTCAACGCCCCGGCGCTGCGAGCCACTGTTCTCGTGGTGGTGGTGTTGACCGTCATCATTTTCGGTGGCACGACGGCCCGGATGTTGGAGATTCTGGGAATCCGGACTGGAGTTGTTGAAGAGATCGAGTCGGACGATGAGTTTGACATCGAGGTCACCAACGGTGGCACCTACTACAAACGCTCCGATACAGGCTTGGGATACACGCCGCGCCGTATGGACTCGACCATTCCGTTGGACGGAGTGCCGCGCGGCGATATAGACCGGAACAACAGCTATTCGAGCGGCAACAACCGTCGCCCCAGCCCTCCTCCATCCGGCTCGGGCCGTACGCGAGGCCATGCCCGGCTCTATTCCAACGCATACAGCCAGAGAGATTCAGGGCGTGATCGTACGTCGACAGCCACGCTGCTGGGTGGTGCCGCCCGCAGCCACAGCGATAGCGATGTGGCCAGTGAGGACGAGTTTGGCTTGAGGACTACTGGAAAGAACCGTGTGGCAGACGCCGATCAATTGGACACATTTGACCTTGATGTCGAGGATGCGCCGTCCGATGACGACCTCCCCCCGTCCGCCCCGGCGCCGACTACCTCGCGCCTCAGGCGATCGCCGTCCCAGCCTCAACAATATCTGGAGCCGTCGCAGACCACACCCCCCAACAATACCTCGCCCAACCGGCGCGAAACTGGACTGAGTGCTCGCGATGCCATTCGAGACCTCTTCTCGGGAGGACCGTCCGGGGACCACGCGGCGTGGTTCCGGCAGTTGGACGAAGATTATATCAAGCCTCGACTTTTGTTAGATCAGTCGAACCACAAGGGGCCTGGCGCTGTTTAGATGATACTCCATTCGTTTCTTTTCCACCTTGTGTGTACTCATAATGCATGATTCCATCTTCTGTTCCACTGTTTCTTCTGCCAGCCTCCTATTTTCGGGATGGTTGTTCCTTCTGCTCGACCCCTGGGGGTCTGTCGGTGGTTGTAGCTCGCCCTGTTGCGTTCAGTAGCGAGTATGCTCCAGACAGCAATCCTCTTTTTCTTATGCGGGGGTGCTTGTATATCCACTATATACCGGTGCAGCTGCTTCTTTATATTGTTGTTCTTTGGCATAGCCGGGTCTGGACACCCTGGACACATGTCATTGTGTATGATTGCCATGTTTCATTTTAGATTTGAATGATTGAGATTCTTCTTGTTCGTTGAATTGCAACGAAGCACATGCGTAGGTCATATACTGCAATCCATAGATAGATAAGCCCATCAAGCCAAGCCCGTCTAGTCGGACAGGCCGATCCCCCTCTCACTAGTAGACGCGTGATTCCCCAGCTGGCAGTACCGGCAGAGTACTTACTGACTAGCAGCAAACCTCGGAACAATCCTCCTTCCCCCTCTTCTGTCACTTCCGATTCCGAATGGGCAATCGGCAATGGATCCTTCGCGACAAGCCTCCAGACTATGGTGGCCCAGCACGGGTTGTTATCAGACGCAGGATCATCCAGATTGGCTGCTCGGGCGTTGTGCTAGGGTTCCCCCGCGATAAGAGTCATGATAACAACATCCCAGTCTTGCAGCTCTCCTGATCGATGGCGTCTCTTTCGTTGGTTGGTTGATTTTACTTGGATGTGGCTACTTACCTATTTGGTTGCGCGACGCCACCGATTTGTTGGGCTTATCGGAGGATGAATGGATTATCAGCACTGTCTTTTTTCTTTCTCCCATTCGGCGTAAAAGATGGATGATAGATACTTGTTATACTCCCGATGGATTGGAGGAGGTCTGGAACCCCGCGCCGTGTACTCATTGGAACTAGTATAAGTTGAGTGTCTGGTACTTGTGCATCCTTCTGCTGTCATTCACGTTTCTTCTTTCATTGCTCTGTTTGTTACCTGCTGTTCCATCTCGTTTTTCCATGATGGCGGAAAAACTCAAGGATGCTGCTCGTGTAGCTGATGAAGATGCTCCCGTCGAGCAGGGGGATTCGCAGCTTTTGGGTATGCCATACTATCATCTTTACTTCTATCGAGTTGTTGGTTTTTTTGGTTGGTTGTTTGTGCTGATCGCATCGGATAAGCTACGCTGGGGTATAAGCAGGAACTGCGTCGTCATTATTCCACCGTCCAGGTCTTCGCTATCGCCTTTAGTATTATGGGATTGTTGCCCTCGATTGCCTCGACACTTTCGTATTCGATTCCTGCTGGTCCTGCGGGCATGGTTTGGGTATGGTTGCATATGCATGCTGGATTTACATACATGGGGAATTCTTGGCTAACTTGAGTTAGGGTAAGGGTTTCGCTGTTGTTTGGTAGCCTCTAGGTAGAGATTCTGATGATTCGTGCAGGATGGTTCTCTGCCAGTGTGTTTATCTTCATCGTAGCTTTGGCAATGGTATGTTTGCTGCACAAAATCTCTCATGCCTATCGAATTGCTGAATGCTCACTGCTCCACTGGTATAGGCCGACCTAGCATCCGCCATGCCGACAGCCGGTGGTCTCTACTTCTGGACTCACTACTTCAGCGGCGAGAAGTGGAAGAACCCTCTCAGCTTCGTAGTAGGGTACAGCAATAGTCTCGGACTCATCGGCGGCGTCTGCTCCATCGATTGTATGCGAATCCCTCGAACCCTCCGTATCCTCCCATCGCTGACCCTAGCCGACAAGACGGCTTCGCTACAATGCTCCTCTCCGTCGTATCAATCGCGCGTGATGGAAACTGGACTGCCTCTCGACCCGTCCTATACGGCACCTACGTCGCCTGCGTCGTCGTCCACGGCCTCATCGCCATCTTCTGTGCGCGCATCATGCCCAAAATCCAGTCCGCCTGTATCGTGAGCAACGTCGGCCTCGTCCTGGCCACTGTCCTCGCCTTGCCCA